GAAACATCCATGTAAGATGGTATGAACATCATCTCACCCAGTGGCAGTGATGTCTTCTGTCCACTTTTTATTCCAGGTCAGTCCCTTTATCAATGAGAACACAAGGCAGAAATTCCTCATTTACAGTGGGAATAACTATCAGGGTCCGGGAGGGCTGGTGGACTACGTGGACAAAGACGTGATCCCAGACTTCCTGGGAGGAGACTGCATGGTGAGTTTTCCTTCCTGTTGTGCAAGTGGAACCTGCCATATGCAAGTTGGATTCCTTCTTCCTCTACGTCCTGGCCTTCCACTCCCTTCTGAAAGATGGTTGAACCTCTGTTCTGGCTGGGATACCCCTACTCTGAGCACAGGGCAGTTAATTTGTGCACAGATGGCTTCACCCTGAAGTTGTGGTGCTGCCTTGGATCAGGGGGTTAGAGGTCAGCTCTATGAATGGAGCTTAGATAAACCATAATAGTTCAAGTAAACCTAGTCCCACTGTGAAATCTTATACTGGCTGAGGGTGTCATCCTCTGTGTCTGACAGACAGCTGTTCATGGTACAGATGTTCATGGTACATGAACCAGCTGTTCATGGTACAGATGACTTGTTACTTTCCCACTAGATGAGTGTGAACCCTCACGTTGGTGTGTCTGACTCTTCCAGTGTACTGTCCCGGAGGGTGGGCTTGTTCCCAAGTCACTTTATCAAACCGAAGAGGAGCCAGAGAACTCGGATCACATCCGGCTATGGACAGAAACTATCTATCATTCTGCGAGCGTCCTCAGAGGAGCCCCACATGAGGTACTAACCAGAACTTCATCAGGCTGAAGGAGGAGCTGATCTGGTGGCAGGGCTGTGTTCCTTTTGTTAAGGCTGACTGGAACAACGAAGGGCTCCCAAAGCATGAGCATGAGACGGTCCAGCAGCAGCGTGCCTTTCTTGGGAAGGCTAATGCTGCCTAACAGCTAAAAGTGTGGAAGTTAAGAACAGTGATTTGAGAAGCAGTGTCTCTTGTCTCTGCTGTGGCCTGGTCTGATGTAAGATACAGTCTCTTCCTTCTGCTTTTTGGAGAAATAAAGCTCCCTCAGTTTCCCTTCTGATAGCGCAGCTTCCGTTCTCAGCTGGGACTGCAATGGTGGTGATACAAGGTGGTGTGTACTGGGAACATCCTGCTGGGGGTCATCGGAAAATAAAAAAGGAGCACTTGACTGTTGAGACAGTCCACCAGCTTCACTGACGATGAGTAACTGATTTGGCTGGCTTAGATTCCTTAAAAAGCAGCAGTGCCTGATGGAGTGCATGGCTGCTCACAAGGTGCTCTTTGCTGTGTCCTGAACGCTTTGCTCCAGTTCCATTGGGGTCTTCCTAGAACTGGTAAATGATTTACAAGCAACTCTGAGACAGGAGAGAGGTGGGATAAAAACACCTGAGCAGATGTAGTGTGGCAGAAGTGGCAAGGGGCATCAGTCTGTATCCTCCGTAGGAATTAAGACCAGTAGCTTAACCGAAGGATTGTAGAGAAAAGCGTGTTTGCAGAGCGGGGAGGGATGTGCTGGCTGCCACCTGAAGACCTGGCTCTTTAGAACATGCTGCTTCTGTTCCCTCCTTAGATAGTTGTGGAGATTCTGGAAGGGGAATCCGTCATCACCTGGGACTTTGACATCCTGAAGGGAGATGTGGTGTTCAGCCTCTTCCACTCCAAACGAGCTCCTGAAACAAGTCATAAAGAAGCCACGTTACCAAGTAGCTCTGCTGCTGGGGACAATACACAGCTAATTGATAAGACGTGGGTCCTTGGGGTGGACTACAGCCGTATGGAGTCTCCACTGGTTTGTCGGGAAGGAGAAAGCATCCAGGTCAGATGTGTTTGGGTCCTGGTGTGGATCTTACAGTCCTAGCAAACTCCAGAATGGCGGTGGGAGGGGAAGGGATTGACAGCCTGGGAAATCATGTGTTGCTTGGAAATAGTTGCGGCCATCATTCTCTGGGTTCCCTGTGAAGGTGGCTGCTACTGCAGTCCTAATTTAGAGTGAGCCATTGGAAAGAGACTCCATAATCCATGATAAAAAGCTTTTTTTTTACGAGCGTTACAGAGACGTGGCTCAGGGATGTAAAATAAGTGAATGATGTGTGGTCCCCAAAGGAGTCACCTCAGTAGTTCCTTTTGACTTTGCCAAGTCATTTGGCTGTTTCTTAAGACACCTGGTAGTCACTTGATGGCACTTTCTTTCTCTCCCAGGGATCTCACGTGACTCGCTGGCCTGGCTTTTACATTCTCCAGTGGAAAATGCACGGCCCCGTGCCCTGCTCTGGCACTAGCCTCCCGCGGGTGGACGATGTTCTTGCCTCTCTGCAGGTTTCCAGCCACAAGTGCAAGCTCATCTACTACTACGAGGTGCTGGCATCCAAGGACTTCAGGTAGGAGATTTACTGGGGGATTGACTTCCCATAGAGAAGCCAAATGAGGACTGAGGGCAAGTTAAGCATCCAGATACCACCGACCTCCACAGGGTGTGTGTTTCATGAAGTTAGATGGACAAATCTTGGTGGTGTTTTGGGCAAAGAATCCCCTTTAGTGTTGTAGGTAATGAGGGACCCCCTGGCTGTTTGTCCACCAGTAGAATCTGTGCTTCAGCTTTTGCCTGCAGCCAGGGGAAGAGGGGGAGGTTTTTTGACTGAGGAGTTTTTTGATCTTAGTTGGGAACACTTTGAGAAGTTACTTTTGGAGTAACTTAACAAATATCAGCTGGGCTGTTTCATACATATTTCATCTGGCACTTAAGAATCATGGAATCATCTGGTTGGAAGAAACCCTGAAGGTCATTGAGTCCAGCCATTCACCCTGCACTGTCAGGGTCCCTAAACCATGTTCCTCAACACCAAATCCACACGGTTTTTAAACACCTCCAGGGATGGGGACTCCACCACCTCCCTGGGCAGCCTGTTCCAAAACATCACAACCCTCTCTGGAAAGAAATTCTTCCTGATATCCAACCTAAATTTCCCCTGGCACAACTTGAGGCCATTCCCTCTCATCCTGTCATTCCTAACATGGGAGAAGAGACCGACCCCCATCTCCCTACAGCTTCCTTTCAGGTAATTGTAGAGAACAATAAGGTCCCCCCTGAGCCTCCTCTTCTCCAGACTGACCAGTCCCAGCTCCCTCAGCCGCTCCTCATAGGACAAGTTCTCCAAACCCTTCACTAGTTTCGTTGCCCTTCTCTGAACCTGCTCCAGCACCTCAATGTCCTTCTTGAAATGAGGGGCCCAAAACTGGACACAATACTCCAGGTGTGGCCTCCCCAGTGCTGAGCAGAGGGGGACAATCACAGCTGTGAGTTGGAGAGCGCTTTCTGAGCAGGTGAATACATCGGTGTCAGCAGGATTTGTCTGGCCTCCTTTAATGCTGAAAGGCCTCCTCAGATCACCCAGCAATTTGAATTCTTTGCAAGTACTTGACCTTTCTCTAGGAGCTGGAGGAAGCGTTAGGGAGACCAGACTTGCAGATGGGCAGGGGGTGACCTTGAGAATGTGGCCTGGCCAGATCCCATGGAGTCAGAGCAGCAGCAAATTCCTCATTCCAGTCTTTCAAACCTGTTCCCTGTTGCTCTTCCTGCATAAAATGTGGCAGGAACAGGTGGTCACAGCTGCAGTGAACCCCCTCTGCTTTGGCAGAAGATGCTGAAGACCATGGCTGGAGCTCTTGTGCTGAGCAGGGTGAGCTCTCGGGTTAGCAGTGGCGGCTGTGCAGCGTTCAGGGTGCCCCACCGAGGCTCCAGCTGCCTCCCGCTCCCAGAATAACTGCAAGAGACACGGTGTAATGTCTTTAGCTGGGAAAAAAGACGTCTGTGACAGTTTAATTTTTCATCCTGACACAAAGCTGCTTAGAGACGGAGTTGAAACTGATGAGACAAAAAATAAAATACTTTTGCAAGCCTTCTAGAGCGTCAGTTGCTCTCCTGTCAGATGTACAGTTATCCATAAATAGCTGCCTTCCTAACAAATGCATCTTTTTTATCCTGTCCCAGGGGATCCATGTCAAGCCTGGAATCTTGCAACAGCGGTTTTTCCCAGCTGAGTGGAGCCACGACATCTTCCAGCCAGTCCCAGAGCAGCTCCCACCTTTCTAGATAGCAGGGCCAAGGCTAGAGTGGCAAGGAAGAGGCACTGGGGGGTTCCTGCCCGCCCCGAGCCGCTCTGGGCACCAAACCAAAGAGCCTACAGGGGCCGAGCCTTGAGGCCGTCATCCGTGTGACCGCCGTTTGGACACGGAGAGCCTCCTGGGAGCTACTTTCAACATAAAAACTGTAGAATTCCAATGGCACATTTAGGAACTTTCTATCCGACACCGACTTCTCGGTCGTCTTTTTCACAAATCGTGGTTTTGGGATGAATGTCAGTTTGTGTGAATCCGTGTGTCACTCAACTTTAAAAGGGCTCTTTCCAATCAGTCCTTTTCCTACGTGTGGTAGTGGAGACTGATGTTGCCTTATCCATTTGATCTGTAGGACTAGAGATTATCCATGTGTAGCAAAACTACTCCAGTTTCCTGGGTGCCCAGGGTACCAGTTCCACCCCAGAAAGTCAAGTGGGCATTTCAGGTGCAGGGACTTGAAGCAAACTGTAAATACCTTTACACAGATAGGAGGATGGTTCAGAAATCAGTTCCAGGTCAAACCTAAAACCTCTT